TTGAAAAACGTCAACGATTGTCAAGCTGGGACCGGACCCTTCGCAGTCCCAGCGGTGTAATCCTGTAGGGACCACTGTTTCGTGACGCAATCAGGCGTTTGTATTTGAGTTTACGAAACAGCCGTAGAGAGCAGCCTCCCCAGTACCAGCCATCCCGTGTGATCGTTTCCTGTTTGGTGATGCGGCCTGCCTCGTTCTTTTCCACGAGAATACAGCCACCTTGTGCGAGCAGGTGCAAGACCCGCTGCTCGGCTTTTGATATGTCCATCGATGTCTTTGAGAACCTGAATCTGAATGCAAGAATCCAGTCGCTGCAGCAGATCGCATGCCGCGCCGTGTTGCATGACCCGACTGTTTTCAGCCGGGGATTACCGGGACTCTTGTGATCCGGACATAAATCCTCTCAAATTCTGTGGCGCCGGGTATCATGGAGTTGAAGAACTGACAATACCTGCAGAAACGTGGCCTAGCCGAATCGAGACGGTTCAGGCCAAGGTGTTGCGGATTGGTTTCACCCGTGGTGATGAGGTCATTCAGCTGCGTTCAGCTGGCCAGTAGCCATTTTCGGGATGTCTTGAAACTGCTATTGCAGTGACATCTTCTGATCCGCACAATCCGCAGGAAAGAGTTTCGCTCAGGGCGGAAACTTTCTGGTTTTGCGAGAACCGGGCACCGTTCATGTAACGGAAACGGCCACAGTGACCACATAAGATCGCAAGCCTGCGGTCGGTTTTACCCAAGGCTTCGATAGTGGGATCGTCGGATGGTGCGGGTGAGGCAACGGTCATGATAAAAACTTACAAACAATAGTGTCCGAAGTTCATCGGACATAAAATAAGGTTCAGTAGGAAAGATAACACAAGGACCGGAAGAGTAAAACAGAGAATATGTAGGTGAACCGAGATTTATCTCACTGCAGTGTCGGTCGATTGTTCGACGATTTATTCACGGCAATCAGCATCATGGCAATGATATTTGACCGTTTAGAAAAGTTTATTTTGACCAACTAGAATAATCTCTCTGGCGCAATCGGCGTGATGCAAGGCAGATTTTGTCTCGCATTTCAGTGGAGCCAGCGATAAGAGGGGGTATGGAAATGCTATCTGATACCTGGTTTGATCTCTTCGGGATGTCCGGACTCCTAAACCCGTTCGCGCTTGTCATCGGCGGTTATCTGGGATGGCGGGCCGATGGAGCTCAAAAACTCTGGATTGCCGGGTTTGCCGCCGCGGCACTTTCGCTGATCCTGGAAGCTGCAGTTGGCATGTTGCAATTGCCGCAGCTGATCTCACAGGACGCGGGTGCCCTGGCGATGTTTCCGTTTCGCTTCGTTGGTGGTGTTCTGGCCGGCAGCCTGGCATTCTGGCTGAACAGGCAACGCAACAAAACCTGACTGCCAATCCATGAAGAAGATCAGTCTTCCAGCCAACTGTTGAAGAGTTCTGCGTTGGGACAGTTCTTCATCGGGTGAGTTGCACCATCCGGGTGATCGGAAAGCCACTGTTTGCAGGCCTCGGTATTCCGGCAATTGATACAGCGCACGGCTGCCGATCGTATGGCTGCATTCGAGTGAATTCCGGTCGGCATGTTCTTCATGGCACCGATCGCATCGAGCATTCGACCCATCAGTTCCGCACGCTCATTGAGGCGATCCATCCAGTTCAAGCTGTTTCTCCTTCTTCAGGACTGACGTTGAAATTGGCTCCGGTCGGTCGTCAGGGCATTGCTTTGCCGGGCTGCCATCTCCTGTCAGATTCACCTCAAGGATGGGCTGTTGAATTCAAGTTGGCATTGATCAGGGTCAAGTCTGGGCACAGCTTAAGAAACCGGCCATACTGTAAGTCTATGATTCTGCAGTTCCGCGATTGCGTGAGGCAGTGCGATGGTCGAAACAGTAAGCGCTCAACCGCTGACGCTGGGTCCCGGAATTGCCGTGGGATCACAGAGGCTTGAGCCTGGTCTTGAATTGAAAGCAAAGGTGGAAACCAATCTGCCGGGTGGTGTCGTGCGCCTGGCGACTGCCGATGCCAAGATCGACTTGCGGGTCCGGACACCGCTGCCGCCGGGTACGGAAGTGGTTGTTACCGTGACAGGTAGCAGACAGAACCCTGCCATTCAGATCACGACTGTTCCCCCTCAAGGTCTTGACGGCAGCGGCGCTCAGGTGAAACCTCAGGCCCAACCTCAACCCGTTCCGCAGCCTGGTTTTCAGCCGCAGCCTCAAAATCCGCCGCAGCTTCAAGGTCAACTGCCGCAACAGCCGCAACCTCAGATCCGGCCCCAACCTCAACCCCAGCCCCAGAAGGTTCCGCAACCCGGAATCGTTGCAGGGCAGCTAAAAAGTGAAGCCGCGGGTATCCTTCAAACGCAGCCGAACGTGGCACGGGCTCGAACCGCTCCAGTTGCTTCAAATTCCACTCAAGCCCCACAAGCCCCACAAGCCCCACAAGCCCCACAAGCCCCACAAGCCCCACAAGCCTCACAGGTGCCACAGGCCAATGCGCAGGCCCCGCGAGCGGCAGGACCTGTATTTCAGGCCACTGCCGAGCAAACCGGGGGGCGGGCCTTGCAATTGCCGACTGGTCAGGCACCGGTCCACTCCGGATCCACGCAAACAACGCCTGTTCAGCCGGCACAAACGCAAGTCGCTCCTCGCACCGAAGGTTTCAGACCGGGCGGATCTTTCATTCCACCAGGTCTGGCCGGAACTCCTGCAAAAAGCACTGCACCGCTGCAACCTGCACAGGTCACTGTCAATGCGGGTGGATCGCCAATTGATCTGCCCGCTGCCGGCAATCTCCCCCGGGTCTCGGGTTCTGTTCCAGCACCGTTGCCAGGAAATTCTACAGCGCTGCCGCAAACCGGAAACACAGGGCCGGCACCGGCGCCGACCGCGCCGGCAACCTCAACGGCACCCGCGTCTCCGGCGATACCCATTTCGTCCGGACCTGTTACCGCATCAGCTGTATCGATTTCAGGCCCTTCGAGCCAGGTAATCAAGCCACTGCTTGCGCAACCTTCAGCAGGCACTGATACAGTCATAGCCAAAGGGCAAGTAAGCCCTGCCGCTTCACGCGGTCCTGTGCCCCCCACGGCGCCGGTTTCCACAGGCACGACGACAGCGCAACCTGCTTCTCCAGGAAGCATTACGCCCGGAAGCGTTACGCAAGGGAGTATTGCGCAAGGGAATGTTGCGCAAGGGAGTGTTGCGCGGGGGAGTATTGCGCTGGGGGGCGGGACGATTGCGACCGGCACTGTTGCAGGCCAGTCAGCAACTGGCCCCTTGCCATCGTTACCCGGACAATTGCCCGGTCGACTGGCGGCTCCACCCGGACCGTTGACGGCGCAACCCGGCGTGACGACCCAAAGCGCGGCTTCCCCGAACATTGCAGGCCCAACTGTCAGCGGCATTGCTCAGGCGCCTATAGGACCGGTTTCCGCTGCCGCAATTACATCCGGGGCGACGGGAGCCAAGCTGCAGGGACAGTTGCAGGCAGGGGAAGGTTTGCGTGTTGCTCAAAACCAGCCTTATCAACCCGCCGGTTTGACGAGCAATAGTCGGGAAAGTGCTCCGACCAACGTTGCAGCGTCGAGCACTCAGGCACCGGTTAGGGAAATTGCGCGTCAGCTGATGCAGCCACTCGGCGAGCAACAATCGGGTCTTGGAAATCTGTTCGCACAGGTTGGAAGTCTGATGTCCGCACAGGCAAGCGGGCAGGTGTCGCTGCCTGATCCTGTGGTCAAGGCAATGCAGCAGATCCTCGGATTGAGGCTGAACACTGTACAGAAACCGACGGCTGCCGGCCTTCAACAAGCAGTTCGCCACTCGGGGCAGTTCAGGGAGGCAAATCTTGTACTTCCCGGTCAGGGGAGTTCGGCTGGCCAGGGGGATCTCAAGTCCGTTCTGCTCTCCTTCAGATCGATCCTGCAGCAATTTGGTAGCAAGGGCCAGGTGACCCGGCCTGCCAGCCAGCCCTCTGTACCGACATTGCAAGGCCCACCCCAAGCGCAGGCGCAACAAGCCGCAAGCGGATTCTGGACAGGTGCGGCTCCGCAGAACCTGCAGTCATTGCTGAAGGAAACCGACGCTGCGCTTGCCCGAATGCGGATGACGCAACTGGTCAACTCGGGTCTTGCGGGCGACGAACGGCAAAAGCTGGGTACGCGTCCGATGGATATCGTGCTGGAACTGCCTCTTTCGCTTGGTCAGGAAACCGCCGTTATGCAAATGCAGGTTGGCAGGGATGGCAGTGGGCAGGAGGAAGGTGATGAGGACGAACAGGCCTGGCGGCTTCGTTTCGCACTCGACCTCACGGCAACAGGCCCTCTGGAGGCAGCCGTCAGTTTGCGCGGCGGCGGAACGTTTGTCAGCCTTTGGGTGGATCGCAAGGAAACTTTCGACAACCTGAATTCCGTTCGTGAATCAGTCGAAGCGTCATTTGCCGATGCTGGACTCGATCTGCAGGAGTTTCGGCTCGTCCGGGGCTTGCCGCCCAGAACGGCGGCGAAATACGGCGCGCTGATCGATCGGCAATCATAGGAAAAGGCAATGAGTTCGAACAAACCGCCGGAAAAGAAGCTGGCCGTCGCGCTTCAATACGAAAACGAAGGCGCACCGGTGGTCACGGCTAAAGGGGCTGGTTCGATTGCCGAGCAGATTGAAAGGCTGGCCAAGGAAGCCGGTGTGCCGATCGAACAGAACCCGATGATGGCCGAAGCCCTGTCCCAGATCGAAATCGATCAGGAAATTCCAATAGAACTTTATCAGGCAGTCGCGGTTCTGATTGGCTTCATCATGCGCACGGGCGAGGCGCAGAACCCCGGTCCTGACCAATAGGGTCAGCTCTCTGTGCGAAAGAAACAGTTCTTGGCAAGGAAAACCTTGCAGCCCAATCAATTCCCGAATAGGTCAACAGTCTGCAAAGTAGTTGCGCCTTGGAGTTCGTTTTGACACCGCTCCTTTGCGCGCGAAATCGAACAGAACAGGATTTTTGACGAAGATGACGATTGTCGACGTACGCACACCCGATCCGAAGAAATTCATCAAGGGAGCGACCGGCGATTGGGAAATCGTGATCGGCATGGAAGTCCATGCCCAGGTGACTTCCGAAGCCAAGCTCTTTTCCGGCGCCTCGACCGAATTCGGCAAGGACCCGAATAACAACGTCAGTCTCGTCGACGCCGCCATGCCAGGTATGCTGCCGGTGATCAACGAGGAATGCGTCAGGCAGGCGATCCGGACCGGTCTCGGGCTGAAGGCGGCTATCAATCTGAAATCCGTGTTCGACCGCAAGAACTATTTCTACCCGGATTTGCCGCAGGGTTATCAGATTTCGCAGTTCAAACAGCCGATCGTCGGCGAAGGCAAGATCCTGCTCGACATGCCGGACGAACAGGTCGAGATCGGTGTTGAACGCCTCCACCTGGAACAGGACGCCGGAAAGTCATTGCATGACCAGCATCCGACAATGTCCTTCGTGGATCTGAACCGCTCTGGCGTTGCGCTGATGGAAATCGTGTCCAAGCCGGACCTTCGTTCGTCCGACGAGGCAAAGGCCTACCTGACGAAGCTGCGCACGATCCTGCGCTACCTGGGAACATGTGACGGCAACATGGACCAGGGCTCCATGCGCGCGGACGTCAACGTTTCAGTCAGGCGTCCCGGCGGCGAATTCGGCACCCGTTGCGAGATCAAGAACGTCAACTCGATCCGCTTTGTGGGACAGTCCATCGAATACGAAGCCCGGCGTCAGGTCGCGATTCTGGAGGATGGCGGCGAAATAGATCAGGAAACGCGTCTCTTCGATTCCGTGAAAGGTGAAACCCGGTCCATGCGCTCCAAGGAAGAAGCGCATGACTACCGCTACTTTCCGGATCCCGACCTGCTGCCGCTCGAATTCAGCCAGGAATTTGTCGATGAACTCTCTGGCCACCTGCCGGAGCTGCCGGACGACAAGAAGGCTCGTTTCATCGGTGACTACGGCCTGACCGCGTATGATGCCGATATCCTGGTTGTCGAAAAGGCATCTGCCGACTTCTTTGAGGATGTTGCCAAGGGGCGTGACGCCAAACTGTCCGCAAACTGGGTAATCAACGAACTTTTCGGCCGCTTGAACAAGGAAGGCACGGATCTGGCGGACAGCCCGGTTTCCGCGGGTCAACTCGGGTCCATCATCGACCTTATCAAGGCCGGAACGATTTCAGGCAAGATCGCCAAGGATCTGTTCGAAATTGTCTGGACGGAAGGCGGTGACCCGGCACGGATCGTTGAAGATCGCGGTATGAAACAGGTGACTGACCTGGGCGCGATCGAGGCGATTGTCGACGAGATCCTCGCCGCCAATCCGGACAAGGCTGAACAGGCCAAGGAAAAGCCGAACCTTGTCGGCTGGTTCGTCGGTCAGGTGATGAAGGCGTCCAAAGGCAAGGCCAACCCGCAGGCAGTGAACGATCTTTTGAAACAGAAGATCGGCCTGGAGTGAGTTATGGCGGGTGAGAATGAAGTCTCGGCCGTAGAACTGCCCATTACCGGTTCCTGTCATTGCGGTGCCGTGACTTACCAGATGAAGGTACGGCCTCGCTTCGCCGTGGAATGCAACTGCTCGATCTGCCGCAGTCTGGGGACCGTATGGGGCCATGGTGAAGTCGGGGACATTGCGGTGACGGCGAAACCCGGGGCAACAACCAGCTATGTTTGGGGCGACAGGCAGCTTGCCTTTCATACTTGCAAAACCTGCGGTTCAACCACTCATTGGGAAGCCGTTGCCGGTGATGCAAAAGGGCGCATGGCAGTCAACCTGCGTCTTGCCCGTCCCGGCACCATTGAAGCCATTGGCCACCGCCACTTCGACGGGGCGGACACCTGGTCGTTTTTGGATTGAGAGCCGCTCTGAGTTGAGATGAAACATCGGCGGATCCTGGCAGTGGCACACAACTATGCGGATTCACTGGCTTGTGGTGTTGGATTCGTTGTCGGCCATTGTTCTACTGATATTTTCGGCGAAGCGGCCAAAAACACTGATCTATGCATTGAAGTTGATTTTCTCGCAGGAAGAGTGGTGACAGGAAACTGCTCCAAAACGCTCGCCGCTGCCTTGAGACTGTACAAAACAGGCTTCGAAGCGTTTTGCGTAAGAAGTCGCGTTCATAGAACTGATTTCAGTGTTTTTCGCGCTCGATATTTCCAACTTCCGACTGCGCCGAGATACACTATCTTTGTCAAAGACCGTTTCGGGAAATCGAGTTCCAGGGAATATGAGGGGTTCTCTGGCAAGCGTGTCAAAGTCCTGGACAATTTGGGCCGCCTTCGACCAAAGAATATCGATGTCAGTTAGTCTCGCCTGAAAGCGCAACGAACCGATGAGAAGTTTGGGAGAGTTGAAGTAATCAGGCAGATCATCAACGGTTTCGTGTCAGATCAAGTGAAAATCAGATTGAGTTCCGAGATCGTTGCCTGATATCTTCAATCCTTTCAGTGTTTGACCCGCTCAATAAGGGCGGGGCGAAGGCGCCGACTATTGGACTCAGTCATGAACGCGGATCTTGCAAGCCTTCTCCTGGCGCTCGGAATTTTTTCCGTCGGCTTCATCAGCATCGGACCCAACATCCTGGCGATCATCGGAACGTCCATGGAGCGGGGGCGGGCATCGGGTGTGAAGCTGGCGCTTGGCGTCGGGATCGGCTCCGGCATCTGGGCGGCGCTCACCGTGGCTGGACTGACCGCGCTGATCGCAGCCTATGCGCATGCGATTACCGTCCTGAAGATTCTGGGCGCCATCTATCTGCTTTGGCTTGCCTACAGGGCTTTCCGGTCGGCAGCGACACCGGAAGGAAATGTCGCGGTACGGTCAGCGAAAGGAAACAGGTTGTTTCTTCAGGGGCTTGCCATTCAGATGACAAATCCGAAGGCAGCTCTCCACTGGATCGCGATCGTGGGCGTGGGTCTTGGACCAAACGCGCCGCTTTGGGTTGGCCTGTCGCTGATTTCTTGTTGCACGCTCATGTCGGTCCTCGGGCACCTCGGCTATGCGATCACTTTCTCGACGCAACCGGTTGTCGACTTCTACCGGAGGAGCAGGCGCTGGATTGAAGCAGGGCTGGGTGTTTTCTTTTCCCTGGCTGCGTACAAACTGGCGACCTATCGCGGCTGATCGTTTGCCGGCCTGGCATGCGCTACGCAGACCAGGTGGCTTGAGGGAGTGTATTCGGGCTTTGGCCGAATGCACCCGCAAGACGCTACCCGAACTTGAAACCAGCAGCACTGTGCTAGGCAGGTGCCGCCAAATAAGCTAAAGGGCTTGGCAACCTGAAAGCGTTCAATTGACCGAATGACAGCAACCGCCAATTCTGCCCGACAGACCGCACCTTTCTACGCCACCCCTTTTGGGGTCTGGGGCCTCGTCGCATTATGGGGATTGTCACACCTCCTGCTCCGAGCTCTGTCAACGCCCGTTCTGGGGACGGACGACATGTTCGAGAACGTTCTCGTTCAAACGCTCGAACCCGGTTACATGCTGCGTCAGCCACCGCTTTATGAATGGGTGTTGTGGACCGCACAGCAGGCATTCGGTCCTACGATCTGGGCTGCATTGTTCGTCAAATACACGCTGATCTCGATTGCGGCGCTGTTTCTGTTCCTGATTGCACGCAAGGCAATGTCCGATCCGCGGCTGGCAGCTCTCTGCGCCTTTTCCTATTCGCTCTACTACCAGTTCGGCTGGAACCTGCACGAGGGTGTGACCCATACCGTTGTTCTGACAACGGCATGCGCCGCAAGTGCGTTCTTGTTCATCAAGGCGCTCGAAACAGGACGCTTGTCATTTTATCTGCTGTTTGGCGCCGTTGCCGGCGCCGGGCTATTGGGAAAACACTCCTATCCGATCTTCGTTTTGGCTCTGGTTCTGGCTGCGCTGAGCGACGGCGTCTGGCGGAACCGGATCAGGATATTGGGGCTGGCGGTTGTTCCGGTTGCTGCTGCAATCGTCTATGGCCCTTACGCCTGGTGGATCATGACGGAAGGTCTTCAGCTGTTTGCCTCGGTGTCAAAGACGATGGGCGTGGCCGCAGAGACGTCCCACCTCGCCAGGGCCGGACAGGGCCTGGGCAAGCTCGCATTTGGTTTGCTTGGTTTCTCCGTTCTCCTGGTGCCGCTGCTTCTCATTGTTTTCTGGCCGCGATATCTTCGCAGGAAAGCGCCTGTGGTTCCGGAAGTTGGCGATGTTGCCCGCCTGTGTGGCCGAACCGTCCTGGCGATGATCGTGCTGACGGCGCTGATGATTGCCGTCACCGGCGCAACCTATGTCAAGGAACGGCACATGCATCCCCTGATGCTGCTCTTGCCGATCTATCTGTTTGCGGATCTTGAGCGCTTCGGGTTTCTCAAGCAATGGCGCTGGCTGGGGGCGATCATCCTTGCCGTTGTTGCGGTGGTCTTTGTTGCCCGCATTCCCGGAATTGTCGCGCCGGACAGGTTCTGGTGCGGCGGCAAGTGCCGCCACATGAAACCCTATGCCGACATCAAGAGCCCGCTTGCCGCCTTGGGAGCGGAGAAGGCGACGCTGATTGCGGAAAACGGTTACACGGGCGGCAACCTGAGAGTTCTGTTTCCGGGTGCAAGGGTTGTGACCAACGCGATCCCGGCGCGAACGCCGCCACGGGAAAAATGCTTCTTTGTCTGGGAGGATGGCGAGAAACAACCCGAAAGTCCCGCGGTGGACCGGTACACGCAAGTGACTTTCGGCAGTCCCGTCATGCCGCTGTCAGCGACCTATCTGGCAGGCAACTGGCCGCACATTTGGAAAGACCATGGATGGCGGACGACCTGGTGGGGCGTTGCGGAACTCGACGCGAGCGACGAACTGTGTCGCTGATCGAAGGCAAACGCTGTTTCAGCCGTGAGATCTTGGCGGTTGCCTAACTGCCTGGTGTCAGGAGTGCATCTGCCTTGCGTTCCAGAAACAGGCCAAGTTCATCATAACCGTTGAGGAAGCTGGAACACCAGATGCGGCCGATGCCCGAGACTTCCATGTAGTCGGCCTGAACCAGATGCGAATGGCCGACGAATTCAAGATGGTCCCAGGGAACGCTCGCGTTTCTCAAAAACGGGCTGCTGAAATAGATCTTGTTCCGGTCATATCCGAATTTGACGAAGAAGATCTGATAGTTGACGAAGATGGTGATCGCGAGAAACGCGACCGTCACGACGAACGCCATCGCGATCTGTCTGGCAGGCGCATGCGCCATCGCATAGACAAACAAGATGGCGAACGGCACCAGTGAAATGGCAAGGCACTTGACCGGCCAGCCATAGGTCAGGTAGCAGACATGTCCCTTTCGAACCGCGGTCGGCCGGGCTGATGCGGACAGGCCCCAGACCAGGGCCGCACCGATCAGCCCGCTGCCGATAGCCACTGCCCAACCGCCCCAGTCAAACATGTCCATGAACCCCACCGAGTTGCCGAAATCTTGGGAAAGGGTATGGATCGCGGCTTAAATCTTGATACATGAATTGAAGATGAGTTGATTCAATTTTTATCGGTTCAGATCAGGTGATCCTGATGGTCGGTCCAATGTCGGCGAGGCCAATTGGCCGCCGTGGAGATTCAGGGAACGTCAAGTGACTTCAAAGATACGGATTGTGAGGGCAGAACCGGGTCACCTTCGCGAAATCGTCGCCATCATCAATGTTGGCGCTACAAGTGTGCGCCAGGGACGGGAATTTGCAGAATGGCAGGACTATCAGCCTGCTTTTGAAGCCCTGGTGACTGCTCCCGAAGCGGATATTTACGTGGCAATCAACGATGCAGACGAAGTGGTCGGCACTTATCAGATCCACTTCCTCAAAGGCATTGCGTTCAAGGGGCGCCCGCGCGCCACAATCGAAAGTGTGCACGTAAGGCCGGACCAGAGGGGAAACGGCATCGGTCGGCAGATGATGGATCACGCCGAAAATCTTGCCCGAAGCGCGAATGCCTGCATGCTGCAGCTCACATCGAACAAGGAACGGGAAGGCTCGCACCACTACTATCTGCGTCTCGGATATGATCAGAGCCACTTTGGCTACAAGAAGATGCTGGTCTGACAACTTCCGTCATTGGAAGGTGAAAGCAGGTCGATTGAAGCAGTGTTTACGCCGCTGCATTGGCGAAACATTTTGCGACAGTGTGCGATTTCCGGACGCGGCGGGGTCTTGCCAAATCGCGGTGGCCCGGCGATCGTTCTGGTTCAGTCTGCACGGATCCAGGCTTCTCCTTTGCAGGCAAGCCCGCCGATGACGTAACCCTCAAGCGTGAGCCTGTCATGTCTTGTGCTGAAGCAGGCGAACCCAGTCCAGACTGTGTTGAGCGAGTTCCTCCCATCCCTTTTCAAGCTGCATGTAGTGACACCGGCCCGCGACTTCGACAAAGGTTGCCAGATCGCCATATCTGTCAGCCATCGTTTTCGCCGTCGAGGGAGGAACGACCTTGTCTTCTGAGCCTGACAAAAACAGAAGTGGGGTATCAGCGTTTTCGAAGGTGACCTTCGTGGTCTGTTGCATGTCATACATCCAGAAAAACAGCTCGAAGAGAACCTGTCCGGATTCCGTGCTGAGCCGGTCGCAGATTTCATGTTGCTGCGTGACCGGCATTGTATTCAGCCCGTAAGCTGCCAGGAGATCGAAATCCTGACCGGGTACTTCTTCCCAGAAAGTCCCGGCGGACATGAACATCTTGCCAAGTGCGCGTTCCATTTCCGTTGTCGGCACCGTACCGTTGATGATGCTGCTGTTGATCAGCACACCTGCCTTGATCAAGCCGCGCGATGCAAGCAATTGTGCAATCAGTCCACCAAGTGAATGGCCAACAACAATGGGTTCTGTCCCAAGCGTTCCGATGAACCCGGCAATATCGTCAACATAGTCGGCAATGCTGGCCCCGCGCAGCGCATCTGTTCTTTCCGCGCCATCCGGCAGATCGTGAAAGCGATAAGTCGGATTGTGGCAGTCATATCCATGATCCTCGAAAAATTTGTGGAACGGGGACATGGTCCACGATGAAGCGTTGGTGCCGTGAAGAAAGACAATCGTCTGCGCTGACATGTTTGCGGCCCCGGATTGTTGGAAGATCTGCGGTTGGATGTATCTGAGAAAAAGACTGAAACGCTCAGCTTGGTGAATAGAGTGTTTATGTGCCTTGTCAAATTCTCGGGTAATATCATTGAAATATCAGCCGAATTCGTACGCTCATGATTACCATCCTGTAAATTTCAGATTTGCTTAAAGTTTTGTTCTCGATGCGTTAAACCTGTTTTTTTACGAGCTATTTAACTGGTCCTGATCAAGTAGACATCAAGAAACGAACGGGAAAGCTGCACGAAAGCTTACGTTTCTGGGGAAGTCTAACAGAGGACGAAAGGGGAGCGAAATGGCTCGTTTTGAAATACACTCGGCTGATATGGCCGCCATGGGTGAAAAGCCCGTCACCGCCGACATCCTGTTTCAGATGGGGCTGGACAGCGCCTGCGGCCGCAACGGCGAAACTGATCTGATCACGGCACACAAGTGGTTCAACATCGCCGCTTTGAAGGGCAACAAGAATGCTGCTCAGTACCGCAAGGAGATTTCCGGTGAAATGAGCCCGTCTCAGATTGCCGAGGCGCAGCGCACAGCACGTGAATGGCTGTCGATGCATTGACAAGGTACGAGGCTGCCGGCCAAACGGCACCTGAACCTGTAGATTTTATCTGACGCGGCGGAGATTGTACTCCTGCCGCGTTTTGTATTTCGGCGGTTCTCTTCCCTTTGAGGCGTCAGTGCACAGGTGCAAGACCGTGCTCATCCCACAGCGAGCGGTCTATCGGTTCGCCAAGCGCGAATTCGAAACCGATGATTTCGGCACCATTCGCTGAAAGCTGGCACCTGTAGGCAATTTCATACCAGGTGCGGTTGCTTCTGAGGGCGGCTGCCGAGGCAAAAATCTCATCTGCTCTTTTCACGGAATTTCGAAAGGCGTGCGGCGCCAATCGTGTCGGACGGAAGCCCGGTTGTGCGCGTCTAACCTGTTCCATGGCTTCCAATGCACAAAGTTGCTCAAGGCGGTCGCCGCCAACGAGTGTTGCCAGTGCCGCTCGGGCCTGGGCAGATCGGGGGTCACTGAGAACACCATGCGCGTAAAATGACGTTGCGTAGTTCCAGGCAGCGTTCGGCGGGGGAACATGAGTTTTTTGAAGCGGTGTTCCTGTTCCCGATGGTGCAGCGCGTTCAATAGCAACTTTCGGGACGGATTTTGGTTGCAGGGCAGGGTTGGGCGAGGCTTCCTGCAGGAATTCCCGGAGAGACAGGATGTCAACGACGAGAGGTGCGGAAACCTTCGTGTCAGACAGATCCAACATTTCCATGTTTGTCAGCATCGCAAATACCAGCACATGCACCCAAACGGCTATAACCCAGGAAATTCGCTCCGCCACGAACCGGTGTATGCCTGCGTGTCCGACATCGCTCATGGCGCAGCGTCCGTTGGCTCGAATTCAACTCAGGCTGGCAATAGACTCTGATCACTGTGTCCATATTTTGATTGCAGGGGAGTTGTCGTATCCGGTTTTCCCCGAAAATCGGAAGAATGCGACCATACGTTTTGGCAAGATCCGGGAAACATCCGTAGCCTCAGAAAACAAGAGCGCGCGAACACGCGGTAACCGCTTCCCGCAACCATCTGTGAGCGGGGTCGTTGGTGGACCGCTCGTGCCAGACCATGAAGACGTTCAAGGATTCGGTCACGAATGGCAGGGGCGCCATATCAAGATTACGAAGGGACGTCCTGTGCATGAACTCCAATTCGGTAGCGAGCATCGATGTACCACGGACAAATGGTGTAATTCCGGAAAAATTCGAAACCGTTACAGTCGGTTTGGGGATGTAAGGCAGATCCGGAGCCCTCAGAACATCGTTCGAACCGCCACCCAGGACGAACTGGACCGTCACGTGTCGGGCAGCCAGGTAATCCTCGACGGAGGTTGGCGGGCGGGTGCAGCTGCCATCGAAAAAGCACATCATCTCGCCCGAAAACAGCTTGAACTGGATCATGTCCGGCGCATCGGGCGGAATTGGTGTCAGCAGGAGGTCGCAGCGGGCGTCCCGTAACAGGGAGACGCTCGGAACACCTGAAGGTTTGAACTCGAGCGACAAATTCACCCCGTCCCGCAGCGCGTCTCTCACCAGTTGCGGAAACAGCAGGTCTCTTTGCATATCATTCGCCGCCACGACGAAGTGCATGTCCTCCGATCTGGGATCGAACGGTCGTTGTTCCGTCAAGGATTTGAGACTGTCCAGAACCTGGCGCACGGGTCCCTTCAGCGAAAGCGCTGTCTCCGTCGGGGTCAGACCCTGCCCAGATCTGACAAAAAGCGGGTCACCCAGGATCAGTCGAAGTTTTGACAGCGTGTGGCTCACCGCTGACTGCGTTACCTCCAGGCGTTCCGCTGCGCGAGAGACGGATGACTCTTCCAGGATCGCGAGGAAAGTGCGCAGGATCTGGCCGTCCAGATTATGAAAATCGATTTTGCTCATATCTATTATGAATAGTCATGAATGGTTTCGATGTCCAATTTCGCATATCTTCCGCGGAACATTCTGGGAGGAAGCCATGAAATCGAAATCGCTGCTTGGCGCGGCCGCAATTGCGCTCGTGTCGATGATGCCGCTTGCCGTTTCTGCGGAGGAGCTTTCCGTCGCGAATTTTGTACCGCCGCAACATCACACGAATTCAGTCCTGTTCAAATGGTTCGGGGAGGAAGTCGACAAGCGTTCGGGCGGGACGCTCACGATCAAGGTCTACCCGGCAGGCCAGCTTGGCGCAGGGCCGGTGCAACAATACAAGCGCGCCGTCGAAGGCGTTGCGGATATTACCTTTGGGCTGCAGGCCTACACGCCCGCCATCTTCCCGAAGACGATGTTGATCATTCCGCCGGGCAAGGCAACAACTGCACTGGAGGCCACGGAACGTCTCCTGTCGGTATACGACGAGCATCTGGCTGACGAATACGAGGACGTGAAACTTCTTGGTGTGTTCACTGTGGCTGGAAATGCGTGGGCCGCAACGGGGGACTATTCGACGCTCGCATCCCTGGCAGGAACGAAAATGGTGCCCTATGCGGCGATGACGACACCACTTGTCGAAGCCTTGGGAGCAGTGCCGGTGCAGATGCCCGTCACGGAGATGTATACCGGACTGAGCACCGGAACCATCGACAGCACGACGGCCACTTACAACAACATGACACCGCCGTGGAACTTCTGGGACGTTTCAAGCCACTTCATCGAGAATGTACCGGTTCAGTTTGCCGTGTTTTTTGTCGCGATGAACAAGGAACGCTATCTGGAACTCTCCGATGAGCACAGGGCCATCATCGACGACCTCGCCGGCGAGACTTTCTCGATGATGGGTGCCCGGAGCTTTCATGGTGCAGACGAGCGTTCGCTCGAGATCATGAAGTCCGCACCGCAAATGGAAAAAGTCAGCTGGGTCTCGGTTGCCGACGAAGAACGGGAAAAGATGGATGCGGCCGTGGCCGAAGGCATGAAGGCAATTTTCGCCGATTATGCCGATCGCGGCATCGACAATGCCGAAGATATCTACAACGCGATCAACAAGTGATGGCACGGGCGGCCTTTGGCCGCCGTTCCAGGATGGAGATGCATCGTGCCCGATCTGATGTGGATCAAGGCTTTGGACAAGCTGCTGGTTTGGCTCGCGCTCATCATGGGGGGTGTCATGCTCGCCTTCATGACGCTGTTCGGAACCTGGAACGTGCTGGTCATGCGCAAGGTCATGAATGCACCGGTCCGGGGTGCTGAAGACCTTATGATCCTGTCGCTGGTGATCCTCGTCGCAATTGCCATTCCTTTTGGTGGCCGCTGCGGCGCTCATATTGAAATCGAGGTTATGGAAAGTCGGATGTCTCCCGGCTTTGCCCGTTGGTCGATGTTGGGTCTGCGTCTTGTCGCCGGCGCTCTGATGCTCCTCATGTCCTATGAGCTTGTCAAAGCAGGCGGGAAGGCGACGAAATTCGGAGAGACGACCCAGCAGCTGCTGATCTCCTACGAACCCTTTTACTACCTTCTGGCCATCTGCGTTGCCGTTTATGCGCTCGTTCTGGCCAGCGACGCAATTCAACTCGTGCTGTGCGGCAAGATCCGGCAAATCGCTTTGGGGGCAGACCTGTGATCAGCATGACCATGCTCGGAGTGTTCGGCCTCCTGTTCCTGTTTGTCCTTCTGGCGCTCCGGTTTCCCGTGGCGCTTGCAATGATCCTGGTTGGTGTCGTCGGCACGATTGTCGCAACTGCAAATCGTTTCCTCCTGCTTGGCATGGGCCCGGACCAGGCGTGGGCACGGGGTTTCAAGACGGCCATGTCCAATCTGTCCGGCGAAACCTTTGAAGCGGCTTCCAATTACAACCTTCTGGTCATTCCCATGTTCGTCCTGATGGGAAACCTTGCCGGGGTGTCGGGTATGTCCGCCGATCTGTTCAAGGCGGCCTATCGATGGATGGGACACATGAAGGGCGGTCTGGCGTCCGCGACAATTGCGGCTTGTGCAGGATTCGCTGCACTTTCCGGATCGTCCCTTGCAGCCGCCATCACCATGGGGCGGGTTGCGCTCCCGGAAATGAAGAAATTCAACTATTCGGATAGTCTTGCGACCGGTTCGGTCGCGGCAGGTGGAACGCTCGGGTTTCTGATCCCGCCCTCTGGCGGCATGATCATCTATGCGGTGCTGACGGAACAGAGCATTGGCCGCCTGTTCATGGCGGGCGTCATACCGGGCATTCTGATGACGCTTCTGTTCATCGGCGCTATTTACGCAACCGTCCTGCGTCGCCCCGAAGCCGGGCCACCGGGACCACGCTCCAGCTGGTCCGAGCGACGGTCAGCAACGATTGCCGCCTTGCCGTTCGTCGCCGTTGTCGGGCTCACGATCGGAGGCATGTACACGGGTTTCTTCACGCCCGTCGAAGCCTCATCGGTGGGCGCATTTCTCACGCTGTTGGTCGCTTTGTGGCGGCGGTCTCTCACTGTTGCAGCGCTGCGTGAAGTGACACTTCAGACCGTGAAGGCATCCGCGACCGTATTTCTGATCATTATCGGTGCATTCATCTTCATCCCCTTCATGTCGATCACCGAACTGCCCGGACAACTGGTGAGCCTGATGACGTCGCTCCCCATTGGCGACTACGGTATCCTCCTGATCATCATCCTCATCTACATGTTTCTCGGCATGTTTCTGGAAGGCATTGCCATGCTGGTGCTGACGATCCCGGTCGTGCTTCCGATCATCGCCGCCCTGGAATTTGGTTTTGACCCTTCCATGGCGGATATGAAGATGATCTGGTTCGGGATTGTCGTGGTGATCGTGCTGGAGATGGGCATGATCTCACCGCCGGTCGGCCTCAATGTCTTCGTCGTAAAGTCCATCGCCCCTGGCGTTCCCATGGGGCAGATTTTCAGGGGCATCTGGCCGTTTTGGTTCGCCATGGCCTTCATGCTGCTGCTGCTCGCACTGTTTCCTCAAATCGCAATTTTCCTGCCGCAGACGATGGTGGGCTGACCTTGGGAGAATTTTCATGAACAACGGCAAGACGTTTATCGTAACAGGGGCAGCGTCAGGTATCGGAGCAGAGACTTGCCGATTGCTGAAGGAGCAGGGCGCAACCGTCATCGGCGTCGATCGCGATCCAACAGGCAACGCCGATCGGTTTTTCGAGGCAGACCTGGGAGATCCTGCGTCAATTGACACCCTTGTCGCAGAGCTGCCCGAGGGGGCGGATGGACTGGCCAATATTGCCGGTGTACCGCCAACCCGGGCAGCCGAAGCAGTTCTGAAAGTCAATTTCTACGGATTGCAGCGCTTGACGCTCGCGATCGTACCCAAGCTCGCGGACGGAGCATCGATCGCAAACCTGGCATCCCTGGCAGGGTTCGGTTGGCCCAATGCGGTCGATCAGGTCAAACGGGCGATGAAAGTGTCGCTTGATGACGATGTCGCCGGCTTTTGCCGGGCCGAAGGTCTCGATAATGCCGAGGGTGGCCGTTCCTATTTTCTGTCAAAGGAAGCTCTGATTGTCTGGACAATGCAGAACCGATGGACCTGGCGCGACCGAAACATAACGATGAACTGCATCAGCCCGGGCCCGGTCGACACGCCGATCCTGGGGGACTTTCTTCAAACGTTGGGCGAGCGGGCGAAGGAAGATCGCAAGCACATGGACCGGCCGGGGAGACCACAGGATGTGGCACCTGTCGTCGCCTTTGCACTGAGCGAACATGCAAAATGGTTCTGCGGTGCAAACCTGACGGTCGACGGTGGCATGTCCGGCCATATCCTGAGCAATATTCACCAGTTTTGAGGCTTCCATCATGCATTCGCTGTCAGGCACCAACAAGGTTCATCACGCAAAGGGACTGTATCTCGACGGCATCCGGGATGGGAAGGTCTGGGAGGCGCTCAACGCGCACACCGGTGCCCGCTATACGCAGCATTCGACAGGAGTTGGCGATGGACAGAAGGGTTTTGCTGAATTCTTCGGTCCGTTCCTCGAGCGCAACCCGGTACGCCAGATCGAAGTGATCCGCGCCATTGAGGACGGATCCTTTGTCTTCCTTCACGTTTTTCAGAGCCTCAACAATGGTGAGAGCAAATGGGTGACAGGCGATTTGTTCGACACCGACGAGACCGACAGGGTTGTTGAGCACTGGGACGTCATCCAGACGTTCGAAACAAGGACGAAGTCGGGCCGCACGATGACGGATGGCACCACAAGGATCGAGGATCTGCACAGGACCGAAGCCAACAAGGCCCTCGTACGATCCTTTTGCGACGCGTGTCTGATCAATGGTGATTTTGCGCGCGCTGCCGACTTCATTTCCGCGAACGAGTATCTGCAACACAATCCCGATGCGGCCGACGGACTCGATGGGCTTGCAGGGCTGGTGTCGGATCTGGCGGCGCGCGGCGAAACCATGCGCTACTGGAAAGTTCACAAGCTGATTGGCCAGGGCAATTTCGTCGTGACCCTCAGCCACATGCAGATGGGCAGGAGCCACTATTGCGTCTTCGACATCTTCCGGCTGCAAGAAGGCCGGATCGTCGAGCATTGGGACGTCACCGAAAAGATCCTCGCACCCGAGGAATGGAACAACCAGGGAAAGTTCTGAGGACAAGATCATGAACAACATGGACCAGGAGATAACCACGGGCATCTTCATAAACGGGAAGGTGCGCCCGGCTTCGGGCGGCGCTGTCTATGATCTGTTCAACCCTGCCAGACCCTCGGAGCTTGTCGGTCATGCAGCAGCGGCAACTCGAGAGGATATGAATGAAGCCGTCGAGGCGGCGCATGCAGCGTTTCCGGCCTGGGCAGCCCTTGGATTTGAGGAACGGGCACGAAGGTTGCGCGATATTGCCTCGGCTCTGGTGGCGGATCAGGAAGACGTCAAGTATCGCTCTCGCCTTTTTACCCGTGAACACGGAAAGATCGCGCGCGAGACACTGTTGGAAATGAGCCGCCTTGGCGACCGTTTCCTCCAGGCGGCTGCCTATGGTGAACGCATGGCGGTCGACGAGGAACTCGGACCGGCGGATGTCGGCCCGAAATTCGATACCATCATCACCCGGCAGCCGCGCGGTGTTGCCGCGTTGATCGTTCCCTGGAACTGGCCGTTGTCGATCCTTGGCGCCAAACTTCCGCAAGCGCTGGTAACCGGCAACACCGTGGTGGTGAAACCCTCGGAAGACAGCGCAATGGCACCGGTACTTACTCTGCAGATCATCGCCAGACTGCTGCCGCCGGGCGTCCTGAACATCATCACCGGTGATGCCGGACAGATTGGTGACACGCTGACCGGCCACCCGCTGGTGCGACTGGTCAACTTCACGGGGTCCGTCGGCATTGGACGACACGTTATGAAAGTGGCCGCCGAAAACATCACGCCCGTCACGCTTGAACTGGGGGGCAACGATGCGGCCCTGATCCTGGAGGATGCGGAGTTGAATGAAGAAGCATTCAACAAGATGTACTGGGGTGCGTTCGGGTCCTCCGGCCAGATCTGCATGGCCCTGAAACGGATGTATGTTCACGCAAGTCGTTACGATGAAGTCGTCGACGGTTTTACCGCGGCCTGTGAGCGGGCCATTGTTGGCGACGGTCTTGAGCCCGAGACCACCATGGGACCTGTCAACAATCCGCGCCAGCTGAAGATCGTCAGGGACATGATCGCGGAGGCACGGGCAAGGGGCGCAGATCTGAAGGAATGCGGCCAGGTGCCGGACGAGGATCTTTACAATGGTGGTGGCTATTTCCAGAAGCCGGCACTTGTCTACGACGCTGATCCTTCGCTCAAGATGGTCTGCGAGGAACAGTTCGGCCCCTGTCTGCCGATCATGAAGTTCCGCACAGAAGACGAAGCCGTCGCTGCGGCAAATGACAGTGAGTTCGGCCTGTGCTCGTCCGTCTGGACCTCCGATGCGGATCGCGCGGTGCGCATCGCCCGGCGGCTGGAGGCCGGTTACACCTATCTGAACGGCCACGGGCCGATGGCACAGGACGGGCGCGGACCGTTCGGCGGTTTCAAACAGTCTGGCATTGGCCGGAACCTCGGATATGACGGTGCGCTGGCTTTCGCCGAACCACATTCCATATCGGCTCCTGCCGGGTTCCTGCCCGAGCGACCGCAATGATCCCGTCGACCCTGGCGGGATCGGAAAAAGACAGATATTCGGGAGATGAATGACATGGCAAAACTTGGCGAGAACGTCATAGGTGAAAGCAGCCTGGCGCCGTTTTTCAAGGTGTCGAATGCGGTCGAAGTTGGCATCAATGCGCCGGAGAACCGTAAGGGCGATGCGCTTCGCACCTGGGTACGCTCACTGTCCGGGTTTCAGAAGGAGGCGCTCGTCAGATCCGCTAAAACCGGTGACACCTGGCGTCTGGTTTCCGATGAGGGCCCTTATCTGAGCGGTCACGATGAAGCACCTTGCCCGCTGGCCTTTCTGACCACAGGCATGATTGCCAGCTACATGAACGAGATTTGTGCGCTTGCCGACATGCAAGAGGTCGAGATCAGGAAACTCAAGCTGATCCAGGACAATTTCTACACCATGAAAGGGTCCATGCCGAAGCGCACCATGGTGGGCGGCGCCGAACCGGTGGAATTGCGCGTGGAGATCGATTGCGACCTGGAGAATGGTGCGCTCAACACCTTCCTGATGAACGCGATCCATGCCTCGCCTCTCAACGGCCTGATGCGAGGCAAACTGGAAAGCCTGTTTAAGCTCGGCAGGAACGGTGTCGAACTGCCAACTGCGAAGGTTGCGGAACTGGAGGGAGACCTCTTTCCCGATCCGGGTAACCATTTCGCCAAAAGCCGGGCAGAGGCGTCTTCATTCATGCTGGTGGAGCCGGTTGGGATGACGCCGAAAAAGGACGTGGCGCTTGGAACGGCTGCGGCGGCATCCAGTCTTGCCGATGAACAGAACCGGCGTTTGAACCCGGGCGCGATTGCCGAACTCAGGCCTGACGGCATCAAGGACATCCAGCAGATGCTTTATTCGCCCCATGGAACGAGCTTTCGTTTCCTGAGCGCCGAAGACGGCCGGGCACCGGATGCCAACACGCTGATCAGCGCGGGAATAGGCTTTTGCTTCATGACCCAGTTCGGACGCTTCGTTTCGATGCTCAAGCTGGACCTGCCGGACTATCGTATCGTTCAGGACACGCATTTCTCCCTTGGTGGCGCCTCTGGCGGCACGGGTCGGGCCGGCGAAGCCGATCCGATCGAAACCCATGTCTATCTGGAAACATCGGAAAGCGATGAGACGGCCCAGGAAATGCTCGATATCTCCGAGCAAACCTGTTTCCTGCATGCCTTCTGCCGGACGGACTTGAAGACCAGGCTGAAAGTTGTTCGCGTTTGACGCGAGCGGCGATTGGCAGGAAGGTCTAGGTCGAGACAGGATAGGGGAGGATTGAGATGCGCGTGGCTTTGACCGGAGGCTCGTCGGGGATCGGGGCCGAAGTTGCCAGGAAGCTGGCGGAGCTCGGGCACGAGGTAACAGCGTTCGACATCACCGAGCCACAGGTTTCTGTGGCGGAGTGGATCAAGACGGATCTGGGCAATCCGGTTTCGATCCGGTCGGCGGTCGAAGCTGCTTCCGGATCTTTTGATGCGCTCATCAACAATGCCGGACTGCCGCCGCGCGACGGGCTGGAAGAGGAAATCATTCAGGTGAACTGGTTCGGGTTGCGCAGTTTGATGGACGGCATGCTGGACAAGCTGGAAACAGGTGCTGCGATCGTCAATACGGCGTCGCGGGCAGGGGCAATGTGGCGGGATAACCTTGAGGAGGTCAAGGCATTGATGTCTCTCCAGCCGGATGGACTTCCGGCGTTCATCAGCGAAAGAGACATTGACGCGACGCGGGCCTACAATCTTTCCAAAGAGGCGGTGATCGTCATGACCATGGCCGAAACCGAAAACATGATTGCAAGGGGCCTCAGAATGAACTCCGTCAGCCCGGCCGCCGTCAGCACCGGCATCTTGCAGGACTTCGCCGCAGCCTTCGGAGATAGGATGGTGAAAAACGTGGCGCGCGCCGGCCGGCCCGGCCTGCCGGAGGAAGTCGCCGAGGTGATCGTCTTTCTGGCCTCGCCGGAAAGCGGTTGGATCAAGGGCCAGGACGTAACCATCGATGGCGGCATGAGCGCGATGTCGGTGAGCGACAAGCTGGACTTTTGAGCGAACGGAAAGTGTTTCAACCTTCTACTGGAGATCCACTAGTTGAGGTCGTTTGTGGCTTGGGTGTTGCCCTTGCAAGCGCTAATATTAAATTGGTGCGGTGGTGGCAGGGAAACGCGCGATGAGCTCCATAAAAACATACTTTACGAGTATTGAGGAAGTTGCGCTTAAATACTCGGATCCGAAAAGAAAATATTTTTATTTCGTTATTGTGCCGGCGTTTTCACTAATGATTATGGTAGTGCTAACTATTCCAAAGCCACTAGTTTGGTATATATACAATATTCTATATTTCTTTCTTTTTTTTGGATTTCTTTCGTGCGTTTTGTTCAGGGTTAAACGTTCGGCATTTAAGATATTGGAAAAGCTGAGGGCGTTAAAAACTAGGTGAATTTCTGCGCAAAACAACGACACAAGAAGCAAAGTTACATCGACAAAATATCCGGTGCCTTGATCCGCTCCCGATCCAGCACCTCCGCCACCCTTCGTGCTGCCTTTTGAAGGTCGTCCAGGCATCCGAAGGCCAGCACTTCGTCGATGTTCATGTCGTCGACCATCCACAAGATGCTGATGGACCCGTGAACGCCCGAACTGGAAATGATCGGCACCGCCATGGCACCTAGTTCGGGACCGGGGTCAAATGGCGCCTGCCAGTAGGCGGCTTCGCGCAATCCGAAGCCGCGCTTGCGTGTTTCGGCGATTTCAGTTGCCAGAAAGCCGCCTTCAATCATGCGAAGTTCTTCCTTGCCGGCGAAGTTCTTGAGGCTCTCAAGGTGTTTTTCCGCGACAGGTTCGGGCGAAAAGGCGAGGATGGCGCGGCCGTGTGCAGACAATACCATCGACGGACGAATGCCGAGCGCGGTGCGGGTCGGGGCCATGGGACCGCGCAAGCGCGTACTTTCAATGATTTCAATGCGTCCCGGACCTGTCACGGCATTCAGGTCGGACGGCAGACCCGTCCGCCGTCCCTTGAGATCCAGAAGAATGGGGCCGGCAAGTTCCGCGAGCGGATGCGCGCGAGCATTTTCGCCCAACACCTTGCCGATAGAATGCGAGAGTTCGTACTGGCCCTCCACGATGTTGCGCCGGACCCAGCCCCGGTGCTGCAGGCTGGCGAGCAGCCTCAACAGTGTAGCATTGGAATAGCCGGTTGCCTGGCGCAGATCAGCCAGGGACGACCGTGTGCGGCGTGACAGGAATTCGATGATTTCCAGCCCCCGTTCAAGGGATCTGACACGCTCGTTTCGAGGATTTTCGGTCATCGTTACATCGGTCCGCCTAGCGGACTGAAGATTAGACAACTCGAAAAGGAAGGGCAATACTTCTCTGACAAACGGGCATTGCCCGCGGGAGGGAGCCGGTCAATCTGGTCGGCAAAAAGTGGAGAAATCCGCGCTTGAATATTCTTTTCATCATGTATGACCAGCTGCGGTTTGACTATCTAAGCTGCGCCGGACATCCGCATCTGCACACGCCGAATTTCGATCGTGTCGCAGCGATGGGCGTGCGCTTCACCAATGCCTATGTTCAGTCGCCAATCTGTGGCGCCAGCCGGATGAGCTTTTACACCGGCAGATATGTTTCTTCCCATGGTGCTGCCTGGAACGGCTTTCCCTTGCGTGTGGGCGAGCACACACTTGGCGACCACCTGCGTGATACCGGGATGGATTGCTGGCTGATCGGCAAAACCCACATGAAAGCCGACAAGGAAGGCATGAAGCGTCTTGGGCTGGCACCGGACAGCGTGATCGGGGCGCGTCAGGTCGAATGCGGATTTGATGTCTGGATCCGTGACGACGGCCTGTGGGGCAGTGGCCCGGACGGCTTCTATGACGAGAAACGTTCGCCCTATAACGAATACCTGAAATCAAAAGGGTATGAAGGTGAGAATCCCTGGGCGGATTTCGCCAACGCCGGAATAAATGAAGACGGGAACATTGCCTCCGGCTGGATGTTCGCCAATGCCGACAAGCCGGCGAATATCCGCGAGAAAGACAGCGAGACACCCTGGTTGACTGCGCGCACCGTCGATTTCATCGAAGCGCAGAGCGGACCGTGGTGCGCCCATGTCAGCTATATCAAGCCACACTGGCCCTATATCGTTCCCGCTCCCTATCACGATATGTACGGTCTGAACCATGTTCCGGCCGCCAGCCGGCACGAGGTCGAACGGGACGATCCGCATCCGGTTTATGCCGCCTACATGGAAAATCGGATCTCCAGTGCCTTTCAAAGGGACGACGTCAGGCAAAAGGTCATCCCCGCCTATATGGGCCTGATAAAACAGTGCGATGATCAGCTTGGTGTCCTGCTGGATCACCTTGAGAAAACCGGCCGCCTGAAAGACACGATGATCGTCCTGACATCTGATCACGGTGACTATCTCGGTGACCACTGGCTAGGCGAAAAGGATCTGTTCCACGATCCTTCGGTCAAGATCCCGATGATCGTCTATGATCCGCGCCCGGAAGCGGACGGAACGCGTGGAACGACATGCGATGCTCTCGTTGAATCCATAGATCTCGCGCCAACCTTCGTGGAGGCCGCCGGAGGCAAGGTGCCGGATCATATTCTTGAGGGTCGTTCGCTTCTGCCGTGGCTTCACGGCGAAAAACCGGAATGGCGTGAATTCGCCGTTTCCGAGTTTGACTTTTCACCGACCCCTCAAGCGGTGAAACTGGGGCTGGAACCCAGGGATTGCCGTCTCTTCATGGTGTTCGATGGTCGCTACAAGCTCATGCATGCCGAAGGCGGCTTCCGGCCGATGCTTTTCGACCTGAAACACGACCCCGATGAGTTCCACGACCTGGCAAAGGAAACAGGTCATCAGGCAGAAATCGACAGGCTTTATGCAATGCTGGCCGAATGGGGGCGGCGGTGTGCTCAAAGGGTAACGCGCTCAGACGATGACATAAAGGGAATGCGGGGAAGGTCCATCAGGAAAGGTATTCTGCCGTTTCTGGTGGATGGTTCGGAAGTTCCCGATGAATTGACAGAACACTATCGCGGACCGGCGCCGCAGAAGCATACGGGAGGCTGAACCATGCCCAATGCTGATCTGCTCCATCACAATGAGATCCAGTTCCGCAAGTCGATTGTCGAGTTGGCACCCGGCATGTGGACCGCCGTCGGTTATGCGGCATCGACGCAACACGTCATCGAGGGGGCTTCATCTCTGACTGTGGTCGACACGTCGGAGAGCACCGGCGCTGCGAAGAACGTGCTCGATGAAATTCGCAAAAGGACCGGCAAGCCTGTCGGCCGGATCATCTACACCCACAGTCATCGGGATCATATATCCGGCGCTGCCATTTTCGCAGAAGGTCGCGTGTGTCCGGTGATCGCGAATGCAAAATTCCAATCGGACCTGGTCGGGCAGGACGGTAACAAGATCGCACCCCACAAAGCCCTGAACCGCAGAACAGCAGCACAGTTCGGCATCGGGCTTTCTCCTGAAGAACGTATTTCTCTCGGGTGCGGTCCAGGTGATCGTCCGATGGAGGGGCTGGGGGGCGGGTTTTTGCCGCCAACACAGTTGATAGAAGACGATCAGGATATCGATCTCGACGGGGTCAGGGCGAGGCTCATCATGGCACCTGGCGAGACGGAGGATCACATGGCCGTCTGGCTGGAAGAGGCCGGCGTTCTGATCCCCGGAGACAACTGGTATCATGCCTTTCCAAATCTCTATGCCATTCGAGGCACGCCGTACCGCGACTTTGCCGCCTGGGCGGACAGCCTGGAGCTGCTTGAACAGCTCGGTGCGGCTGTTCTGGCACCGGGGCACACGATGCCGGTATTCGGCAAGGACAAGGTGCGGGAGGTACTGAGTACAACACGTCGGGCGATCCTGCACGTGATGCGTCATACCGCCGAGGGCATGGACAAGGGTCAGTCCATGGATGACATCGTATCGGAACTTCGCCTTCCCGATGACATCGCTTCAAAGCCCTGGCTTGGTGAATTCTACGGCAGGGCGAGCTGGTCAGCCCGCGCCTTCGCTAGCGGAACGCTCGGCTGGTATAACGGCAATCCGACAACACTCGGGACGCTCTCATCAGCTGAACGAGCGAGGCACATGGCGGATCTCGCCGGCGGTGTCGAAGCCTTGACGGCAGCGGCACGTTCAACAATCGACCCGCAGTGGCGCCTGGAACTATGTGACCACCTGATTGCCCTTGGCGAACCGGTAGAGCTGCTCAAGGCGGAGACAATGGAAACCATCGCAGAGGACGAGATCAACGCGACGGCCCGAAACACCTATCTCTGGCACGCGCGCAGACTTCGCGGCGGGGAGACGAACAGATGACACCGGTCCGTGTTGAACAACGCGTTGCCGATCTTCTGGCCTTTGTCTTCGCGCTGGTGATACTGGTTTATGCTGCCTCGGGTCCCTTGTCGGAATTCGTACGCTGGGTGATCGAGGTCACCACTCCCGGGTTCGATGAGCTGTCGCGTCGTCAACAGCGGTTACTTGCGCGCGAACACTGGCTCGGTGGCGGATTCCGGTCTTTTGAGCGCACGTTTCTGCTGCCGACCGGCCTGATCCTTGGGTTGCCGATCCTGTTTGCGTTTGCAATTTCCTTTCTCAGCCTGACCGGAATCCGGCCATGGGTGAATTGGGTCCTGGCCACCCTGTCGAGCCTTGTGTTCTGTATTTGGGTCGCGAACCTGTTTGCCGTGGACGGTGGGGCCTTGCCCGCCGCACGGCCGCTTGATTTTGTTCTGTTTCCGATTGCAACCGCGCTGGTGCTTTATCTGACCTGGCGCAATTTCGGCACGTTCATTGTCGGGTTCTGCCTCTTCTGGATCATTTACTTTTTCGTGCGTGGCTGGCTGCCGGAATGGACCGGTATTCTTGCCGGATCGGAGGCGACGCTGGCACAAAGCATGCGCTCCATGGTGCTGAATTTCTGGTCGCAGACGGGTGGTATGTTCGGGCAACCCCTGCAGGTTGTTTCCGGCAACGTCCTGATATTTATCGTCTTTGGCGCAGTTTTGATGGCAAGCGGAGCAGGGGATCTCCTCATGAAGATCGCCAATCGGCTGACAGGCGGGCTCACTGGCGGTGCCGCACATGCAGCAGTTGCAAGTTCCGCGCTCTTCGGCACCTTGAGCGGGGCTGCGATTTCCAATGTTGTTTCGACCGGAGTGATGACTATCCCTGTCATCAAGCGCTCTGGCTTCAAGCCTGCATTTGCCGCGGCAGTGGAAGCGGCGGCGTCAACCGGCGGGCAGGTGATGCCACCCGTGATGGGCGTTGTGGCGTTCTTCGTCGCCGGTCAGATCGGACTTGAGTACCGGTACATCGTGATCGCGGCAATCATTCCGGCAATTTTCTTCTACCTTGGCACATTCCTGACGGTCTATTTTGAAGCGCGTCGCCAGGGGGTTGGCCCGTTGCCGGCAGATGAACGTCCGAAACTCACGGGTGCAGAACGTGTCCAATGTCTCGTCTTTGTCCTGCCACTCGGTGTGCTGAGCTATTTCCTGTTCGCCCAGCCTTCGGTTCCCAAGGCGGGTTTCTACGGCTTCATCGTTGCGCTTGCGTCCGCGCTGGTCCTGTTCCGCGGCTTCCGCTCGCGGGAAAGGCTGTACAGGGCGTTTGTCAGTGCCGGTCGCATGTCCGCCTCGATCATCGTCATTGTCACGGCCATCGGCCTGATCGTCGGCCTCATCCAGGTGTCGGGTTTCAGCGGCCGTCTGTCTCTGCTGCTCGCACAGCTTGCAGACGGGCCACTCTTCGGAACGCTGGTGGTTGTTGCCCTTGGCGCCATTGTCCTGGGAATGGGACTGCCGCCGGGTGCAACCTATTTCATCATCGTCATCGCGCTCAGCTCCGGCATCGATGCGGTCGGCATAGCTCCGCTGACATTGCACCTCTTCGTGGTTTTCTTCGCGGTTATCTCGACCGTGACACCACCCGTCGCACTTGCTGCCTTCGCAGCCGCACCGATTGCCGGTGCCGATCCGGTGCGCACAGGCTTTCAGGCCGCCCGGCTTGCCTTGGCCGGGTTCATCATTCCCTTCGTTTTTGTCTATCACCCGGCCGTTCTCTACAAGCTCCAGGTCCTGTTTGGCTGGTTCGGCGGCGAGGTGCCGACATCGAAGGCGATGATCGATATTTCCAGCGTGACCTGGCTGGATCTTGGCTGGATCCTCTTTGCCTTCACGCTTGCCATGTGGCTGTTGACCTCGGCTGTCACGGGATTTGAAAAGAACCGACTCAACATCTTGGAACGGATCTTGAGGAGCGCTGCCGGTATCGCCCTGCTGATCCCGAACATGGCGATCGCCGGAACGGCACTCTTTGCGGGAATTGGCCTCGTCATTGGACACAGGTTTCTGGGAGGAGACCCGTCACCGGTCGATGCAAAATCGGCCTGAACACAATCAAAACGCATTTTTTCAGGGAGGAAATCGTATGCGGAAACTGGCAATTGCTGCAAGTGCAGCCATGATCTGGGCAACGCCGGTCCAGGCACAGGAAACACTGAAGATGGCGACGATCGCGCCAAGTCTCGGTCAGGCAATCACCATGGCGACCTTTGCCAATATCGTGACGGACAATCTGGACAATGTCGAAATCGAGGTCTCGGGTGGTGGCGCCGCGACGCTGCACATGATGGAAGTCGCGCGCGGCAATCTCGATTTGTCGATGACCAGCCCCGTCATCTACAACCTGATGTCTGCAGGCAAGGCCATGTATGCCAATGAGCCGGAAGCACCTGAGCTTGCCAAGAACTACAAGCTGCTGATGTGGTTCCCGTACGGCCAGTATCACTTCACGGTTCGCGGCGACAGCGACATTCAGGTACTCGACGACATCGAGGGTGCATCCGTGTTTCTTGGGCCCCAGGGCGGTGGTGCCTACAACGCGGCGCGCGGATGGGTGGAGGCAACCACCGGTCTTGTGGTCGGCGAGGACTATGACGCCATCAAGGCCAACTGGCAGACCGGATTTCAGGCGTTTCTAGATGGCAAGATCGACGTCTATGTGAATGGCTGCCTCGATCCGTGCGGGCAGTTCATCCAGTTCACCGAAACGGAGAACCTGCGTTTCATCGGACCGGAGAGCGACGAGGGCGAAGAAGTCGACAAGTGGCTTGGCAAATGGCGCTATCGCGCTGAAGTCCCTTCGGGAATGTATGACGGTCAGACCAACGAGGAAGCTGTGATGTCCTTTGACACCGCAGTCGGTATCGGTGTCCGCGCCGATGTTGACGAGGAAACTGTCTACCAGATCACGAAAACCTTCTGGGACAACCTGGAGCAGGTCACGTCGCAAGCTCCCTGGGCAAAGGCGCTGGACGTCAAGTTTGCGGCTTCCAAGCGCGGCCTGATGGAGCTGCATCCGGGTGCGGAACGCTACTACCGCGAAGCAGGTGCCATTGAATGATCCTGAGTTGCGGGAGGTCCTGGCTTCCCGCAACATGCGGCCCGGGAGATCGGGTTTGACAGTGAATGACGATCAGTTTGAGATCGGGCCGCGATCAAGTCGCAGTCACAGTTCGTGACCAAGAAAGAGAGACGCCATGGAACGGCATTTCGACCTGGCTAAGATTTGACACCGGTCTGTGTGGTTGCGTCAAAGCCGGTTGGTTCGATGGGCAGGGAACGCTGGGCCGGTCACTCTTGAAATCGTGTTTTTGAGTTGGAACTGGTTCGACTGAACCAACAACTGCCTGAGCTCTGCAACTATCAAAATAGACATTGCAAAATAAAAAAACTTCGTCGCTTTTTCGAAAGATCTGGCGAATTCAATTTTTCGGAAATCAGCAACTATCTGAAAAATATAAGTAAAATTCGTTGTTTCGCTCCAGGGTTAATGGCCCGTTTACTGCAATGCCTCCGCTGATTTGCGCAGTCGCGCATCAGTATTAGGAGTGCAAGACAATGCCAAGCTTACCCGCAACACGTCCTGTCATCGGGACCAATGAAGATGATGTACTGAACGGATCGAAACATTCTGACGTCATGTCAGGACGTTTCGGTGACGATCTCCTGACCGGCCGGAACGGCAACGACGAAATCTGGGGCGGAACGGGAGACGACACGCTCTACGGCAACAATGGCAACGACATCCTCTTTGGATCGGGTGGTCCGAGCCTGGTCCAGGTGACCTCTGTCGAAATTACTGACGACCATCCGGTTTCCGTGGTTTTTGAAGGCGAAACAGCGGGTTACCGCAATACCTTCGGATACTACAAGATCACGGAAGATGGCACGATCACGGACGTTGAATTCATCTGGCCGAATGCATCGCTGCAAGGCAGCGGCGGCAATCTGATCCAGGGGGAATCGCGCGAATTTCTCGATGTCGGCGCCGGCGATCGAATCGCATTTTTTATCGTTTCCAACGGCTATAGCCGAAATGGCGGCTACTCGCATCTCGACCTGGAAAACGGAACTCTCGAGTTCCAGAATGCCGATGGCTCGCAAGCATCGCTCACCAGTGACAGCCCGCGGCTCTACCATATTGCGTCGGACGGCACGAAGACGCTCGTTCAATATGACCCCTATCACACGTCCGCCCACGGCGACACGGTCAACCTGAATCCGGACAATCTCCTGCACACGACCGGCGTTCTGAAAACCGATGCAGGAACCTTGACCCTGGGTTTTGAGGATCTTTTCAACGGGGGAGACCGCGACTTCGACGACAGTGTTTTCACCGTCGACATCGGCCTTGCCAATGCCCTTGTCCTGAACGCCCACTACAACACGGCTTCCGGTGGCACCGATCCTGACCCCGGCAACGGAGGAGACACGCCGGTTATCGAACGCACCGACAATGACTTTCTGCATGGTGGTGCCGGTGCCGACGAGCTTCACGGTCGATCCGGCGATGACTGGCTCTATGGGAACAACGGCAATGACGAGTTGCATGGCGGCAGTGGCAACGACCACCTGTACGGAGACTCGGGCGAGGATACGCTTTACGGCAATTCCGGTAATGACACGCTCTTTGGGGGCCAGCAGAGTGACGAACTGAACGGCAACAATGGAGACGACACGCTTTACGGAGAAAGCGGCAATGACACTCTGAATGGTGGAACCGGAAACGACACGCTGGATGGCGGGAACGACGATGACGTGATCATCGGCGGTTCCGGAGACGACGTGATGCTGGGTGGTTACGGCGAAGACACCCTCAAGGGTGGTGCCGGAAATGACGAACTTCGCGGCGGCCACAACAACGACAGGCTCTATGGCGGTCATGACGATGACACGTTCTTCGGAGACGCCGGAAACGACTATATGCATGGTGGCCGTGGCAACGACACCGTCGACTACACAGCCTATGACGTCGATCTGTCTATCCTTCTCCACAACAAGAAGGCGCATGGCCTGGAGATCGGGACAGACACATTGCATTTCATCGACAATATCAGGTCCGGATCCGGCAATGATATTTTGAAAGGTACGTCGGGCGTCAATGTCATTGATGGCGGTGCAGGCAATGACGCAATCCGAAGCCTGGGTGGCAGTGACACCCTGACTGGCGGAACTGGCGTGGATACCTTCATTTTCCGCAGCTACGATCTGAGTGGTCTCGATATCATCACCGATTTCATTGTCGGCACCGATCTCTTGGACTTCAGCCACCTTGCAGGCAGCGATAGTGATGAGACGTTTCTGGACAAGCTTCAGACAACGGCGTCGAACGGCGATACGCATCTATCGGTCGATCTGGGAGGTGACGGAACCTATCAGGACATCTGCACCTTGCAGGGGGTAGGAGATCAGTCTGTCCAGTTTCTTTACGACAGTGACTGCTTCATCTTCTGAAAACTGAAAACTGAACTGGCAAACCGGGTTGCGGATGGAAAAACCGCCGCCCGGTTTACGCCTGAGCGAAAACCGTAACCTTTGCAAAATGGGAAGATCTCCGGTCTCGGAAAGTCTCGAAGGTTTTCCCATTTTGCAAACCTGGTGTGAGTTTCAATTAGCTTGTTTTTGAAAAATAATGAAAATCAGTAAGTTAGAGCGATTTCCTGAATCTGAATTCTCGCCGTTAACTGTGCTGAGCACTTGGCATTCGTGTTGCAAAGGGTCTGCTGTCGACGCAACAGCAGGAACCGCAACGTGGAAATCATTCACGAAAGACCCAGCCAGAGGCTGCACTACAGGGTAACGGCGCCCATGCGCGTTGCCATGGGGGCGCAGTCTTTCGATGCTGTCGACTGGGGTCTTGGCGGGTGCCGGATCGCAGGTGCGTTTCGTGATCTTCCGGAAATGGGATCCTGCCACACGCTTTTGTGCACACTTCCTTTTCAGGGGTTCAACATAACACTCCAGGCCGAAGCGGAAGTTGTTCGCCTGGATGAGGCCGGCGGTGAGGTTGCCTTCAGGTTCGTGCAGCTTGGTGAGCGTGAAGCTGCCCTGATGCAGCATTTTGTGGAAGACCTCGTCCGCGGCAAGATGACCGATGTTGCAGACACGATTGTGCGGATCGACACTCCGGTCACACCGGTTCCGACAAAACCGGATCCCAATCCAGTCGAGGCTTTGCCGGTTCGCAGATGGCCGCTCAGGCAGATCGTCATGACACTTTTCTATGTTGCCCTGGGAGCTGCGGTCTTCGGCTATGTGGGCGTCTATGCTTTTGCGACCCTTTTCCGGCTTGAGGTTGAATCTGCCGTCGTGACGGCGGACCGATCGACGGTCACGGCGCCTGTCGCCGGCCGCATTGTGGATCTGCCGCAGCGAACGGGCGCCCTCGTGACAGCAGGAAGCTTGCTGGCCGTGCTGGAGAACACTGATCGGCAGGACACGCTCCGCCGGGCAAAATCCGAGCTTGCTTCCACGCGTGCCGAACTGGCGGAAAGACAGGCTCTCGTCGAAGAGGAAAGAAGGCGCGCGGAAGGATATGCACTTGTTGCGAAGAACAATGTTCGCCAGGCGGAATCACAGCTTGCCGGGCTTGCACTTGCCAAGGAAAATGCAAGCCTCAAGCTTGATCGCGTGCGCGCACTGGCTGCGAAGGGCCTCATTCTCACAGACGAAGTTGAGACAGCGGAATTGTCCCTGAAATCGGTTGATTCCGATCTCGCCCGGAAGCAAATCCATATTCAGGAACTGAAAGAACTCATCGACGGCGGCAACAGCATCCGTCTTTTCACCGGCAATGCCTTCGCAGGACGGCTCGCCGAAATGGAAGCAAGGGTTGCCCGCCTCAAGACCGAAGAGGACTATCAGCAACGCCTTGTCGAGGATCTTGGCGCGCTAGAGACGGAACAAGAAGTACTTGCACCGACCGACGGTAGGTTGATCTCGGTTGAGGTTGCCCGGGGGAACGCAGTCAAACAGGGTGCTCCGTTGTTGGTTTTCGAAGAAACCGGTGCGGAAGAAATCAGGGCCTTCCTGACCCAGGAGGAAGTGCTTCAGGTGCGCAGGGGAAGTAAGGCATCTCTTTATGTGCCGACGGAAAACCGTTGGATGTCAGCCGAAGTGATGGAGATCGACAGAACCGCGGGTTTTGTCGACGAGGTGACGGAAACACATCGCTTCCGGTCGCCGGATGGTCGCTCAGCGCAGGTCACACTGCGACCGGCGGAAGGGGACCTGCCGTCGAGCGGCACCCCTGTCACGGTCTATTTCGAACGCCATCGAAACAATCTGGTGTTCAGGACACTGCAGCAGCTGACAAGGGGATTGTGATGGGACAGGAAAAATCATCGCTCCCCTACAAGGTCGACGAGATCATGCACCAGCCAAAGGGGTGGGCGAAATGGACCCCTTGGGCGCTCTTTCAGATCACGCTCTATTTCGGTCTCTGCTTCATTGGGCTCACCGTTTTCGAAAACGTCTTCTTCAGTCCGTCGACCAGGGAAATCACCCTTGTGATCGGTCTGCTTGGTATCTGGCGCTACGGATGGTGGTTCACCCACGCGGTCCGCGCCTGGATCTACGGCCGTTTTGTCTACCCGTCCATGCGCGACGCCGGGAAAAAGGTCTGGGAAGACGGCTGGCGTCCCAGGCACCTTCATTTCATGATGACCACCTACAAGGAACACCGCGATATAACCGAAAAGGTGATCCGTTCGATTTGCCGTGAGATCAAGGACGCCGGCGTTCCGGGCACGATCTGGCTTGGTTCCGGCGACCGCTCCGATGAGGAGCTGATTTCCAGCCTTCTTCTTCGCGAATGGTCTGACCTGGATGTCACCCTTCACGTTGTGCGGCAAAACCAGCCGGGCAAACGGCTCGCGATCGGTTTGGTTCTGCGTGCCATGAGTCGCGGCAATGTCGAAAAGGACGATCTCATCATCTTCATGGATGGCGATTTCATTCTCGCGCCAAACGCCGTCGGAGCCTGTCTGCCGCTGTTCAAGCTTTATCCAGATCTGCAGGCCTGTACCACGGACGAGGAAGTTCTGTGCATCGGTCCCCGATGGATCGCCAACTGGCTGACAATGCGTTTCGCCCAGCGTCGTCTTGCCATGCAATCCCATTCCCTGTCCGGCAGGGTCCTGACCTTGACAGGCCGCATGTCGGTCTTTCGGGCCAATCATCTGGTGAAACTGAAATTCATACGTCTGCTTGAGGCCGACCACCTCGAGCACTGGCTCTGGGGCAAATTCCGGTTTCTGTCCGGTGACGACAAGAGTACCTGGTACTACATGCTGCAGTCAGGGTGCCGCATGCTCTACGTACCGGACGCGATGGGCTATACCGTCGAGGTGATCGAGGGATCCGGCATGGACCGGATGGTGCAGAACTTCCGCCGTTGGTCGGGCAACATGCTGCGGAATGGCACAAGAGCACTTGCGCTCGGACCGCACCGCATGCCGTTTTTTATATGGTGGTGCCTGCTCGATCAGAGAATGTCCATGTGGACCATGCTTGTAAGCCCGGTTTTGGCCGTGAGCACCTCTGTCCTCTATGACCCACACTATGTTTTCGGTTACGTCGTTTTCATATGTATCACGCGGATGCTGCTGTCCCTGTTTCTGTTCCAGTATGCGCGCAAGGTTGATCTCAGCTATCCCTTCATTCTCTACTTTAACCAGCTCATCAACGCATCGGTGAAGGTCTACTGTATCTTCAGGCTGTCCAAGCAACGCTGGTCGAACCGGGGCGATCAACGCGCGGGCGACGGTGACGGATTTGTCGCCACGTTGCAGAACTGGATGGCAAGCTATCTGACGCTTTTATACGTCACGATCCTGTTCCTTGCCGTTTGCCTGATGGCGGGCCTCATCGATCCACCGAGCACCCGGATGATCTCGTATCTGCTTGGTTTGACTGCATCGACCTGAGGCGGTCGGGCAGCTTCCGATTTTGCAAACCGGTTTTTCCAAAATCGAAATGGGTTCACGTTCTCAAATTGAGAATTCAAAATTAAGCTTTTGATTTATATGCGTTTTATTAAAGAATATCGATTGGCCCGGTTCTTGTTCTCAAGAGACAGGAAACAAATCCAGGGGCTATGCCATGAGACCTATCCCGAAACTGTATACCGCTGCGATGGCCGTCACGGCAATGATCGCGCTGGCACCGATTGCCTTCAATGCCGTCGTCGACGCATTCGACCACAATCGTCTTGTCGAACTCGATCTCGACAAGAAGGAGATCAGCGTCAAGGCGCATTACCCGCTCTACAAGATGATGGAATATCCTCGGATCAAGGCACCGACGGTGATCCTTGGGGATAGCCGAGCGCGCGCGTTGCAGGACAGGTACTGGCAGGAGCTTGGCCGGGACGATGTCTATAATTTCGCTTACGGTGGAGCGACGGTCTACGAGATCTACGACACCTTCAGATATCTGAGGGAAACGGTCGAGCTTGACACGCTTATCGTCAGTCTGCCTCTCCGTAGCATGGATGCCCGTTTCAAGGGCAGCATGAACCGGGTCCCCGAGGCCATTGCGCTCGCGGACAATCCCTTTGCCTACTACACCAACTGGTTTGTGACAAAGACCGGCTGGCGTCTGCTTCAGGACCGGTATCCTGGTTTGACCGCTCTTTTTGAAGATGTCTCGCTCTGGCCGGTTCAAGAGGCCCGTGCCGCGGACTTTACAGCCGTCAGCACCTTGTCGGTCGAAGCTCTTCTTGACCCGTCACTTTGCGACGAGTGTGCACTGAGCGCGTCGGTCTCGTCCTTGAGGCTTCCGGCGGTTTATCATGGCCACGGGTTCGGCCTTGGGCGCTGGGCGGGCTACTGGCCCGAAATCTCGATCGACCGCGACCTGCCGCAGCTCTTTGCAAAACAGGTCGGTACCAATGGTGCCGCGGATTGGCGTCGGTTCAAGCAGTCCGAAGACCTCTGGAATATGATCGAGGAAATCGCGTCCTGGTCTGCCGAAAATGACGTGAAACTCGTGTTTCTGATCCCGCCGACCATTTCCGAAATGCAGCGCCGGATCTCCGATTTCGGACTGACGGCTGCGAACCACAAGTTCCGTGAACGTCTTTCGACATTGGCTCCCGTGGTCGATCTGGACTTCGACACGCCCTTTACGCGGGAACTCGGCAATTTCACCGACGCCTATCATTTCGGCTCGGACCCGGCGCGAAGGATCGTCGGCGAATTGTTGATGTTGATCGATCGCGACCCGAAGCGTGTTGCCACCGCATCAAGCCGTCGCAAGGACCTGGTCTGCCCCGTAACGCCAGCCGAGACATCGCGGTCTCACGTTGAAGGCACGCTGGAGCTCCTTGAAGGTTCGTCGTGCAGGATCTGGAGGAAGACCGATGGCTAATCTGCGCTTTTCACTCGGGGAAATTCTCATTTGTGCAACCGGCTTGATTGTCGGGGCCATCGCGGCAACCGGCTTCACGCAAACGCCTGACCGGACTTCGCAAAAACCCGTTCAACTTGAGAGCCATTGCCACAAAGACGGCCTGCACCAGCAGGATATGGCAATCGGCCGGCAATACGAACAACTCGCCCTGGAGGTGTTGCAATGACCCGGACAGACAAGAAATCATTCCTGTGGAAGGGTTTGCTGCTCGGCGCCGTGTTTGGTGTGGCAGGTGTGGTAGCCCTTACTTCGGAAACCATGCCGGTAAAGATCAAATCCGAGCGGATTGATCCGACGATCGAGGAGATGATCAAGCAGGCTCGCGGTTTGCAGAAGGTTGGGCGTTGGGAAGCCGCCGCCGATATTCTCACCCAGCTCGCCAATGACGGCCACCCCGTTGCCCTGTTCCATCTCGGAAGGGCCTACAAGAACGGCTGGGGGGTCAATACGGACCTGGAACAGTCGCGTCTGATTTTCATGGAAGCGGTCAGGTACTCTTTCGCCTATCGCGGTGAAACCGCTTATGAACTCGGCCGACTGTTTCAACGCTCGTCAGGCGAAAAATGCGCCGAAATCGCGTTGCAGTGGTTCATGAAGGCACTCGACTGGGATTATCCGAAGGCGCATGTGCAACTGGCCAAGCATCATGAACGCGGGATAGGGACGGAGCGTGATCTCACGGCAGCGTTCTACCACTATGAACAGGCCGCAATTGCCGGGTATCCCTCGTCCACCATCAACTATGCCCGGATATTGCTGACAGGCCGTTACGGTGTGACGCCTGATCCCGAACGTGCTCGGTTCTGGGCGGAACGTGCGATCGCGGGTCTGGAACAAAAAGCCAGGGACGGATCCGCGAGTTCGGCGAAAACGCTGGGCCGGATTTTCCGCGATGGCGAATTCATGGCCATGGATCGCTCGCGCGCAAGGGATTGGTTCCTGCGCTCCGCAAACCTCGGCGATGCCGGGGCGATGCACGATCTTGCACAGATGCTGATCAGCGCATCATTGGACGAAAAATCCGCGGAAGAAGCGTTGAAATGGCTGAGGCTCGCAGCGACCGCTGAGCATGGCGGCGCGTTGACCGCTCTCGCGCGCCTTCATCTCAAGCAGAGCTTCGACCTCGAACCGGAAAGTGCGGTCGAACTGCTCGAGCGTGGTGTGGCCGTCGGTCACCCCGGGGCCATGGAAGAACTGGGACGACTGTTCGCCCGTGGCAAATACGTGCCTCAAGACCGCACAAAGGCCCTTGAGTTGGCCCGGAAGGGGACCGACCGCGGTCACCGGGGCAGCGCGAGCCTGCTGCAGGATCTGCTGCAGGAAGACGAGGCAAACCTGACCGTTATCGAAAAGTCCACTTCGCAAAAATCTGCCAAGAAGGAGGGTTGAACCATGGTTTTCAGTTCCCTTGAATTCATCTACCTGTTCCTGCCACCGGTTCTGCTCGGTTATCTGGTTCTTCGCCACTACCGATGGGAAAACGGAATCATCTGGTGGCTCATCCTGGCTTCTCTTGCGTTTTATGGCTGGTGGACGCCGATTTATCTCCCATTGCTGTTGGGTTCGGTCGTCATCAACTTTGGGTTCCATCGCATCCTTCGCACCGTTCGGGACAGGTTTATCCTGATCTGCGGAATTGTGTTCAATCTCGGACTGATCGCGGTCTTCAAATATGCGGATTTCTTCATTGGCAATGCGAACTTTTTCGCCGGGTCGGATATTCCGCTGCTCCACCTTGTGTTGCCGCTGGCAATTTCCTTCTTCACGTTCCAGCAGATCTCGTTCCTGATCGACACCTACAAGGGGGACGTCACGGAGTGCGACTTTCCGCGCTACATGCTGTTTGTCGTTTTCTTTCCGCAGTTGATCGCCGGACCGATTGTGATGCAGAAGGAAACCATTCCGCAGTTCAAGCTGCCGGTGTTCAGGAACAAGCTGGTCCTCAATCTGGCTGTTGGCAGCACCCTGTTTGCAATTGGCCTCTTCAAGAAGATCGTACTCGCGGACGGTATTGCGCCGTACGCCAATTCAGTCTTCAACCTGGCCGAAACCACATCCGGCGTGCCGTTCGAAGCGGCCTGGATCGGTGCTCTTGCCTATACGTTCCAGCTGTATTTCGACTTTTCCGGATATTGCGACATGGCCCTGGGTCTTGCGCGTCTCTTCGGAATTCGCCTGCCGGTCAACTTCAATTCACCTTACAAGGCAACCAGCATTTCCGATTTCTGGCGCCGCTGGCACATCACCCTGTCCCATTTCCTGCGTGATTACCTCTATATCCCGCTCGGCGGAAACCGGAGTGGTCCGGTGCGGCGCTACGGAAATCTGATGGTCACCATGTTGCTGGGTGGTCTGTGGCACGGTGCCAGCTGGACTTTTGTTTTCTGGGGCGGTCTCCATGGGGCCTACCTGGCAATCAACCACGGCTGGTCCGCACTGGTCGCTGCCGGTTATGTTCCTTCCATCCTGCCGAAGTCAGTCGGAAACCTGCTTAGCCGCGGCATTACCTTGCTGGCGGTTGTGGTCGCCTGGGTCTACTTCCGTGCGGAAAGTTTCGACGGTGCCAACAACATCCTGGCGGGCATGACCGGACTGTCGACGGTCTATGAGCCCAAACTCTGGGAGACCATGGTCACCGGTACGGCAGCGATCTGGGCAGCCATGATCTGTCTTGCCGCCATCGTCTTCCTGTTGCCGAACTCCATCGAATTCACGGAAAACTACAACCCGGTGCTCGGCCTGAAGAAGTTCGTTGCCCAGAGGCGCTCCGATGGGTTCCTGCCGGTTCGTTGGAAGCCGAGCGCCGGTTGGGCTGCTGCTGTTTCTGTCCTCTTCGGGGTCGCTCTCATCCAGACATACCGTCTGGCTGAATTGACCGAATTCATCTACTTCAACTTCTAGGAAGCAGACCAGGATGAACTATCTTTCGCACGTGCTTGCTCTCTTCTCTGTCCTGGTTGCGTCCTGCGCCTTGGCAGAGGAGCCTGGGTTGAAGTCCGGTCACCTGATCCTGCCCGCGCAGGGAACCGAAGTTGACCTGCAAACGGGCGCCGTGAGCCGCAAGGGCGTCACCGGGCAATGTCTGGAAACCGTGTCGCAAGCCGGTGGGTCCAGGTTGGTGGTAAGCCGCAACCCGGGTGACGACGTCCCAAACGTGACGGTGAACGGGACAATTCAAAGTTGGGTCTCAGACGCGGCGGGTGCTGCAAGACTTGGTTCCGTCCGGCTCGCCAGGGATGGGTCGCTCGCTTTGCTTCGAAGCTGGAAAACTGGAGATAAACAAACAGAATTGCTGCAGGACGGGCAGATCGTCCGGAAATGGGAGCGTTCGGGTTCCCCCAAAATACTGCGGTTCACGGAAAATGAGGCAATAATTCTGGAAAGCGGTGATGCTCAATCCTGGCATCTCAATCTCTATCCGAGAAATCTCCAAGGCCGGATAGAGCCTCGCGCAAGAACACTCGTAGACTTTGGCAGCTGCCGGCCCGGGCGCATGCGCATTGATAATGGAATTCTGTGGGCGCAAATGGACTGCGGTGAGGGAACCGACGGTAGTATCTTCCGGATTGACATGGAGAAAGGTGAAATCGGCGCACCGCTTTTGATTTCGCCGACCGCCGAGTTCGCGACAATACCTGGGTCGGCAGCAACGGCGAATGGGCAGACCGTCGCCGTGGTTTCAGGCACACCCGCCGCACTTCAGCTTTATTACGCTGCAACAGGTCTCCTGCTTTCCCAATCGGGCGAAGTGCGCGCCTGTGCCTCCGACGCAGAAGGCCTTCAAAGCTGGAACCAGAGCTATCGGCTGCGTTCGCTTTCCACGCTGTTTCGGAAAACCGGGGACGAGGCATTCGCCGCCCTTGCCCTGAAATCGATGCGGCTGACGCTGGCGGCTCAGGACGGTAAGCAGGGCCGGACGGGCATCTCCAATCCCGAATGCGGCTGGAGCTCGACGATATACGGACAAAACGCCGATGAGCGGCTCAGTCTGATGATCAACCAGGCGATGATCGCCAACGCGCTTGACAGTTCCTGCCGGAAACTCGGAAGACTGTGTCCGTCCGCTTTGTCGCGTAAAATCACCGCTTCGAACCTTTGCCTGGCTCGAGCCTATGAAGAAGATTTCGATACCGAAGCGGGCATCTACACAATAAACGCCCGGGTCGATTTCCGCTTCGCCGGCAAGTTTGCTCCCTGGAACTGGCAAATCGCATTCGCCGCGCTGCTGAGCGAATTGCCCGATGCTGACTACAAGGCACGTGCTCGGCAAATCGTGCAGGTGTTCCTCAAGGAATGGCAATCCGACAAGAACGGCGGGCTCTGGCGCTATTGGCCCAGCCAATACTATCTGGAGAAAGGGCTGACCGGAGACCAGCTGGGTGACCAAAGGTTCGAAGATACGGGCCATGCTGGGATTACGCTTCTGACATTGAGCGACTTCACGAAGGGCCTGGCCCCGGAAACCGCCGATCTTGTCAAAAGACGTCTGGACTACATTCTTTCCTTCGGCAAGGAGACACCCAGGGATCTCGATGGAGATGGGCCCGCAGGGCACCGGTGGTTTCCCGCAGGAGGCTGGAGCCACTACGCGACAGAAGAGTTGCAGTTGGCCTACGAGGCACCAGTGCCGGGACGGTTCTCTGCGGACAGTCTCTACGTCTATTCCCGGCTCTTTGATCCCGCAGCCAGGTTTCAGCTCACAATCGACTTTAACTCCTGCAGGCAAACCTGTCAGTTTCAGGGCCGGCAGTCGTTTTCGAGCTGGCAGTCATTCCTGAAATCCAATCCGTTTTTTCTGATTTCGACGGCCGATCCGGACGTTTCGACCGAAACGAAACAGGAAGTGCGCGGCAATACATCGAAAATTCATAACCAATGAGCAAGCATTCACCAGAAGGCCTACGCGCTGGAAACGGGTCTGAGCACCAGAACCGAGGGGACAAAAATATGCGCAAGTG